TTTCCTTAAAATTTGTAATACTATTATTTTTTTTGGCAAATAATTGAGTAATTAAAATATTATTTTCAGATTATGAAGTTACTAAGCTGTAAAAAATAAATAGCGAAAAAACGGTGTCCATCTCGTTATTGTATTTTTTCATGTTATTTTCTGTTTTCTCAACCTCCCCCCTGAGCCCTAGATGCACCTGTAGCGATGCCAGAGTGTCCAAATCTACAAGGTTATTGACCCCTGGAAAGGACGAACCGAAAAAAACTTGGTCATTTCTGATTTTACTCTTTTAACAGATGTTAAAGAGAGACTTAATTTTAAAAGTACATTTATTGCATTTATTGAAAGTTGTTGATTTCCAACCCGTTCTCTAGCAGGCCTTCAGGCAGTAGGACCTGTCCAGGCCAATCTGGGTACAGGACGCAGAAATGCGTGGGCGGGTGGGCGAGGAGGGGAGGGGTTAGGGAGTAGGAAGGAGGAGAGGTGGGGAGGCGTCTCTTTGTCTGCCAGTTTCAGCTTCAAAACTATATTAGCTCTCCACACTTAGTCTGCCTGCTCCCATCAGTCTCTCATATCTCACTTCGGATTTCAAACTTTTGATTTTCAACTTCAGATTTCAAAGTTCTGACTTCTGACTTCTGACACTCCATTTCTGTACTTTACATTCTGACAAATGAAATTTTACTTTGAAATTCTGAATTCAGACTTCGAATTCAGGCTTCTCAATTCAGACTTCTAACTTTAGACTTCTGACTTTAGACTTTAGATTTCTGACTTCAGACTTCTGATTTCAGACTTTTGACTACAGACTTTTGACTTCAGACTTCAGACTTCATACTTCTGACTTCAGACTTCTGACTTCAGACTACTGACTTCAGACTTCTGACTTCTGACTTCAGACTTCTGACTTCCGACTTCTGACTTCGGACTTCTGACTTCAAACTTCTGACTTAAGACTTTTGACTTCAGACTTCTGACTTCAGACTTTTGACTTCAGAATTCTGACTTCAGACTTCTAACTTTAAACTTCTGACTTTAGACTTCTGACTTCAGACTTCTGCCTTCAGACTTCTGACTTCTGACTTCTGACTTCAGACTTTTGACTTCAGACTTCTGACTTCAGACTTCTGACTACAGACTTCTGACTTCAGACTTCAGACTTCTGACTTCAGATTTTGATTTCAGACTTCTGACTTCAGACTTCTGACTTCAAACTTCTGACTTCAGACTTTTGACTTCAGATTTTTGACTTCAGACTTCTGACTTCAGACTTTTGACTTCAGACTTCTGACTTCAGACTTCTGACTACAGACTTCTGACTTCAGACTTCAGACTTTTGATTTCAGACTTCTGACTTCAGACTTCTGACTTCAGACTTCTGACTTCAAACTTCTGACTTCAGACTTTTGACTTCAGACTTCTGACTTCAGACTTCTGACTTCAGACTTTTGACTTCAGAATTCTGACTTCAGACTTCTGACTTTAAACTTCTGACTTCAGACTTCTGACTTCAGACTTCTGACTTCAGACTTCTGACTATATTTTTCTGACTTCAGACTTCTGACTTCAAACTTCTGACTTCAGACTTTTGACTTCAGAATTCTGACTTCAGACTTCTGACTTTAAACTTCTGACTTCTGACTTCTGACTTCTGACTTCTGACTTCAGACTTCTGACTTCAGACTTCGACTTTTGACTTCAGATTTTTGACTTCAGACTTCTGACTTCTGACTTCAGACTTTTGACTTCAGACTTCTGACTTCAGACTTCTGACTACAGACTTCTGACTTCTGACTTCAGACTTCTGACTTCAGACTTCTGACTTCTGACTTCAGACTTCTGACTTCAAACTTCTGACTTCAGACTTTTGACTTCAGACCTCTGACTTCAGACTTCTGACTTCAGACTTTTGACTTCAGAATTCTGACTTCAGACTTCTGACTTTAAACTTCTGACTTTAGACTTCACTTCTGACTTCAGACTTCTGACTTCAAACTTCTGACTTCAGACTTTTGACTTCAGACCTCTGACTTCAGACTTCTGACTTCAGACTTTTGACTTCAGAATTCTGACTTCAGACTTCTGACTTTAAACTTCTGACTTTAGACTTCTGACTTCAGACTTCTGCCTTCAGACTTCTGCCTTCAGACTTCTGACTTCTGATTTTTGACTTCAGACTTCGACTTTTGACTTCAGACTTCTGACTTCAGACTTCTCACTACAGACTTCTGACTTCTGATACTGACTTCTGATTTATGAATTTTGACTTCTTACATAATTCTGATTTGTAACTTGTGACTTTTTCCTTCGACTTCTGGCTTCTGACTCATAATCTTAATTTTAGCCAATTTTGACTTTTGAACTACTGACAATTCTGAATTCCGACTCCTGGACTTCTCACTTTTTGAATTTTGGCATCTGATTAAATTTGATTTATTACATCTGATTTATTCTTTAGATTTATTTGGATTGGAACACCGCCATTGTCTGTAAAATGTCAAATGTTGAATATTCAAAACATTTATTTAATATTTTAGGAGGTTAATAAGCTCAAATATTCAACAAAAATTCTACTTAACAAATAATTGGATAGGCTGTTCAACAATTATTAAAAACAATTTCATAAAGCGCGTTGGATCCGAAGTAACCATCTCCTGCATGCGCATAAATCCTTGCTGTGCGCGGTGTCAGCTGGAAGCCTGCGTTTAGTATTTATCCAACCCTCGAGAAGCGTAGACTCACACGCGCGCGAGCGTCAGACTGCGCTAATTGTGAATGAAATGGAATAGACTTCCTATATTAGCTTCATGCAAAATTCAATCTTTTTAAATTATTAAAAAAGTAAAAACGATCTTAAAATTTTTCAAAAAATGTTATCTTAACTTTCAATGATCTTCATTAAATATTTTAATGAAACAAAGTACCGGAAATTACTGTAAAAACAAAACAATAAAATAAATATCTCTTTTTTCAATGAAATATCAAGAAGGTTCTTGATTCATAGCTAGCTGATATATGAAGAGAAGAAACTGATTATGCTGACTGATAAAGATGTTTATAAATTTATAAAAACTGTTTCTGATTTCCACGATTTTAAATTAGCTGATACAATTTTTTTTACATATTTTAGATTTTTGGAATTTATACAATTTTAAGAAGACATTATTTTTAAACATTAATTTTTGATGATAATAACTAATTTCTTTACAACTAAAAAATGAAGTCGAACCTTAAAGAAATCCAACGTATAGAAACCGCTACGTATAGCAGCAAGGCGTATTTTCCGGGAGAACATTTTTTATATTTTTGAGAAATTAATTAATCAGTGTAAAGTAGATATAATTTTCATAAAATCCTTTTACTTAAATGGTAAAACAGAATTTTATGAAATCATATTAGCATTACTGGAGAACTTTTTTATAATTTTAAGATTTTTTTTCGAAAAATAAAACTGTAGATTTTTATAAAATATTTTTTTTAATAGTAACACGCAATTTATGTATAACCATATAATCATTCATTTGTGTTGTCAGTACATAAAAAAATCTCGGGGACCTTAAACACAATAGAGAGCAGTACAAATGTACATATTAAACTATTTTGCTCCTTTAATGTCTAGGGTATGTTAAGAAAAATAGAAATTATGATAATGATAAGATGCAATGTTTTACAAAAAATTTTAATTTCTCAAAAATATAAAAAAATGTTCTCCCGGAAAATACGCCATATTGCTATACGTAGCTGTTTCTATACGTTGGATTTCTATAAGGTTTGACTTCCTAAAAAATGTTCTAAAACGCTAATCAAAATGTCTGATGGACTGAATTTTTATTAATTTCTATGAAAACTTTCAGCCATTAAAACCATCTTTTTTTATATCATCAGCTAGATTTACTTAAATCTGTTTCAACGACACAAATATTGCATTAAGTAATCAAGTCTTTTTTGTCTGAGTATATACAAAGATGAAAAATGCGATAAATCAGTTGGTTGCCAAAATATTTGCATTTGTAACCAACACTGGATTTGATTTTGGTTTGAATTTATATCTTCCTGTTTATACAACTCAGAGAATATGATATTCAAAGAACTCCATCACTTCTGTTGGATCAGGGGTTTATGGCAATTGCACATTTAATTTTGTTTATAACAAAGAAATTTATTAATCCCCACAAACTTTAATTTTTAGAATTCGATATCTTCGCAATCTAATGGTGTATAAAGAGCTTTGACATTTCAATCTACGAATCTATGTGAGATCAAAAAGATTGAAAAATGAAAACTTCACACAGGTTGCATAGAACAGGGATTGGAAATTAGAGTTTGTGGCGGCCATTTTCTTAAATATTTGACGGTACAAGGTAAAAAACATCGAAAACAAAAAATCGAAATCAAGTCCGAAACAAAGCTTTTTTGAAACACAAACTATCCAAACTTTAAAATAGGATACTAAAACCCGTCTTAAACATTTTGATTTGATTGTAACAATTTTTATGAAAAATAATTTATTAATTTAATCATTTTCACATATTTGTCAAATGACAGAGAGTCCTTGCATTCTGGCATCTGTCAGATATATTTGTGTTTAATCAACCAAAATCTAAATTTTAATAAATATCTTAAATTTGGTTTGGCATAATGTTTCCTACTTCTTCAAAAATACGGGAAGCCAATGTTATTTGTAAAATCAAAATACCGAAAACATTCCGAAATTGCGAAAATGTTGATTGAAATTTTGAACTGAATGCTAGCACCATAAACTCCGGTTATGAAATATCTTTAAACATTTTTAATCCCAATCATTCTGTTTAAAATATCAATCAAAATGTTGGGAATATCTGAAAAATATTTTAATCTCAATCATTGTGTTCAAAATATCTATCAAAATGTTCTCAAAGTTCGGGTTAGTTTGATAGAAATAACAAATGTTTGGATTTTTTCTTACATCGTTGATGCAAAAATCGTTTTTGCAAAAAGATTCAAAATAGAAAATTTAATAGTTTTTTTTCAGATGAATATTTGTGGTCAGACAAATTAAAAGTAGAGTTCGTTTCCCTCTCATTATTCAATAAATACAGGGTAAGTAAACATATTTGTTGTTCTTGCAGTTTTTAAGATTTAAATTCTTTGTTATTGATAACTTAGCGTAGCTTTCTGAGTTTTTTTAAGATCCACAGTCAGGAGACATCTATGAAATCCAACCTCCTATTAAATCCAGCCTCCTATGAAATCCAGCCTCCTATTAAATCCAGCCTCATATGAAATCCAGCCTTCTATGAAATCCAACCTCCTATTAAATCCAGCCTCCAATGAAATCCAACCTACTATTAAATCCAGCCTCCTATGAAATCAAACCTACTATTAAATCCAGCCTCCTATGAAATCCAGCCGGCCTCCTATGAAATCCAGCCATTTTTTTCGAATTTTACCGCGGCTATAAGGTGTTCCAAAGCCATGGCCTTTGATTTTATCTCTTTTAAACTCACTTCTGCCCTAGACATTTTAGAACTTTTAAGCATCTATTTTTAACTTAAGTAGTTTTCAAGAATTAATTGGTAAACTCCTCAATAGTCAATCCTCATCTGTTTTTGTGGAAGAAGAAAGTGTAAAAAGGAAAAGGAAGCAAATATTGAATTTTTGAAATCCTGAATCCAGCATTTTTAACGGTTCACCCTGTATTAGTCGACTACCCTAGCAGCTAGATGGTTTTCAAGATTGCAATGTTAGATTATTCAAAATGAGCATATTACGAGCACAAGGGTTTCGTGGACTGTAAATGTTAGCAAAAAAAGAATTGTAGATCTAGTATTTCCAACTTTTTACCTTCCTTCCAGATAAAATTTAAATGAACCAAGAATAATTGCCTCGAACTCTGTTCGTAAATACAAACCTCAAACTACTGAAATATCACATATTAAGACTGCTCAGAAACAGGGTTATCTAGATCTTCTATATATATTATATATAATATGTAGAAATGTCTGTTTTTGTGTGTGTCTGTATGTCCGATCATAACAATTTGACCGATATGCTTTAAAGGGACATAGCCGGTCTGTCCCTTAACGTTTTGATAAGTGCACTCTGTTTAAACATCTGAAATTTTCTAGATTTGAACATTTTAAATAGAGCTGCTGGTCAACTTGTATAGGGAAAACTTAGATTCCAGGCAAAACTGGGTTTCAAAGATAGTGTGGGTATAAAATGGTTGGGTTTCTTTAGTTAATTTGTTTGATTGGCCGTTTCTTTAGATTGGGTAGCTTTTTAGAACCACGGGAATAGTCTTAGCTAGATATCCAAGCAAAGCTGGGTTTCAAAACTAGATATAAATTTGTACGCAACTCTTATCTTCCTCCTTAGTTCTACACACATTGGAATAATTCATCCTTTTGTTTCTGCGGTTACTCTGAGAACCACTTATTTCTTCAGCCACCTTGCCATGCTGTGTTAAAGTCTCTTTAGATTATCTGCACTGCATTAATTAGATCCGCACTCCTCTCCTCTTAAAGGGACTGTTAAGCTTTCATATTTTCAGACTTTCCCATTTTTTTATTAATGCCAAGAGTTGAGACATGCTTCTGAAAATAATTGATAATTTCAAGATATTTTCACATATTCCATTTTAAAACAGTCCCTTTAACATTTGCTACGCACTCTTCTCCTTAATGTGAACATGTGCAGCATAGATTTTTATATCGAGTAAACCTGATCTACAGGGAGCTTAAAATGCACACATTCTCTATACATTATACATATATGTGTATATGTATACCCCGCTCCTAGAATCTAAATATTAATATATTCAAATTATGTAAATAGTTCAACTACTGACACAGACTAACCGGACCACCTAAACTTTGCAATTCCTGTGCTGCGTATAGCTATATTGCGTGTTCAAAATATGCAAACTCCCCCCTCCCCCCTCCCTCCCGACACTATCCTTATTCATTTTCAACCCAGACAGATATACAATAAAACAATGAATACCGAAGTGCATCTGAACCTTTGGCAGCGCTTTATTTGTTCCGGTTAATGCAGATAAAGGATTGAACATATAACGAAGTGTGTATATATATAAAGAATTGAACAAATCATGGTGTGTGTATATGTATAAATAATTGAACATAAAACGAAGTGTATATGCATTTAAAGGATTGAACATATAACAAAGTGTATGTGTATAAAGAATTGAACATATAACGAAGTGTATATGCATTTAAAGGATTGAACATATTACAAAGTGTATATGTATAAAGAATTGAACATATAACGAAGTGTATAAACATGTATATTAAGGATTGAACATATACCGAAGTGTTTATATACTAGATATATAAAGGATCACATATAACGAAGTGTATATGCATACGAAGGATTGAACATATTACGGGATTATATGTTGGTAAATGTTGGTTGATATTTGTGAAAGATGTTTACACCTAAATATATTTCTGAGAGTTTCCTTATATGGTTAGTCTGGGTCTCTGGGTCGAGATTAAACTAGGGGTGAATATATTCTGTAGATCAAGGGGATATTCTATTAATTGAGGCTTAAAAATGTATATACCTTGGAAAACATAGTTTTTTCCCGAATATATAGAAAATGTAATCGAATTAAAAATTGATTAAATTGCGATCAATTAGATGAGCATTTATAACACTTTAATACTTCCTAAGTTAGTGTACTTTTCGAAGTATCTGAAGACTCGCCTCAAACTCTATAAATCCCTATATCTATATAATTAGCCTATCAGAATGCAAAGATCAGAAAACTAAAGTTTGTGGGGAGTATTCAGGTTATTTTTTTAATGTTCCTGCACCATAACAGTCTTGAACTACCAACCCATATAAATAATTCGTTTTGATCAAACCTTTAATCAGTTATGAAAAGTTTATGAAGAGGCCCGGCTAATACTAAACACGTCTCAACACATATTGTACACGTTTAAAAAGTGTAAAATTATATCAGATCACCTTGAACATGCAATTTAAAAAACAGGGAACAAAAAATATACTTCTTTCAAATTTTTCTTCCAATTTACCAAAACATTTTTTTTGGAAAAATTAGATTTAAAAATCTTGTGTGATGTTGAGATATCCCTGAATTATCCACCCCTGAATTATCCACCGACAAATACTAGATTTGCTCACTTCCATGCTTCAGTTCCTTGTTTGATAAAATAAAGAAAGGGGGCGGGGCGCTAAAAAAGGGGTGGGACGGGATCAAATATTATTTCATATTTTGTTTAATAATGATTTAAAATTTCAAACATTTTTTTTTTTTAGAATGTCGTCTTCACGTGGCACAAGTTCAGGAGTTGGTACAACTCAAAGTTTTAGGGTAGGATCTTATTTATTTCTTCATGTATTTTTTATTTAGATTCAAGTGTTTATTATTGTTTTAGTTTTAAGGCATTTATTTTTGCTCTCCAATGTTCATTTTTTCTCTGTTTCTCTAGGAATCCAATATTTTCCCAGTTAATTAGTTAAATAGTTTATCAATCTAGGTGTGCAGTTTTTGCTGCCATTTTTTTCGACAATAGATTCTTTTCCCACGCAGGCCATACATTTTATGGAACATAAAAACTTTTAAGTTTTTCAATTTTGCCACACCTATTTTTACACCCCACTCGGTTGTGAACAAATTTCTTCTTTCAACCCGTTAAATAAGTTCTGATTGATTAATTGATTGAAGTATAATGCAAAGTTTTGATTGATTGATTGATTGAAGTATTAAGCAAAGTTCTGATTGATTGATTGATTGAAGTATACAGCAAAGTTTTGATTGATTGATTGAAGTATTATGCAAAATTCTGATTGATTGATTGATTGAAGTATTAAGCAATGTTCTGATTGATTGATTGATTGATTGAAGTATTATGCAAAGTCTGGTTGATTGATTGATTGATTAAAGTATTAAGCAAAGTTCTGAGTGATTGATTGATTGAAGTATACAGCAAAGTTTTGATTGATTGATTGAAGTATTATGCAAAGTTCTGATTGATTGATTGATTGATTGAAGTATTAAGCAAAGTTCTGATTGATTGATTGAACTATACAGCAAAGTTCTGAGTGATTGATTGATTGAAGTATCCAGCAAAATTCTTATTTATCGATTGAAGTATTAAGAAAAGTTCTGATTGGTTGATTGATTGAAGTATCAAGCAAAGTGCTGATTGGTCAATTGATTGATCCAGTACATTCAAGTTAAGTTCTTATTGAATAATTAATTGATCCCGAAAATATTTAATTGATTTATCTAGTAATGTTATAATGTGTTGATTAATTGATTAATCAGGTGAAAATATATAATTAATTGATTAATTGATTAATCCGGTAAATATATAATTAATTAATTATTTCAGAAAAGTTCTGATTAATTGATTAATCCAGTTAAGTAAGTTCTGATTGATTGATTGAATATGTAGGAGGATAAGGATCTGGGTGAGCTAGCGAACAGAATGCGAAGGATTCATACAAATGGAAACAAACATAGACGAGGTAATTATCAAAATATTATTAAAATCATAAAATTTTATGATGTTTTTAAAGAAAATGTTTTAATTTAACAAACTCTAATTTCATCATCCCCATATCTTTGCAACCTAATGATTAAACTTTAATCAATTGATTAAGCAGAACTCTTAGTTTTACGCCCAGCACGGTTGCACAAATACAAGTATACAGCGCTGGACAGCCTTGTTTTGGATTACCTTAATCCCGTTCGCTTTGTTTTGATATCCACTGTGGACACTTTTAATTTTCTTCTTTTGGAAATCTCCGCTATAGGTTCCGGTCAGGGAGAGTCTCTCATTGATTGATTCTGTCCCGGCTTCTGATTGGCTGTTCGGTTTCTGCAAGGGGCAATCTAGTTAGTTGAATTTCAGACACTTTCCTGGATAACAAATAAAGATTAATTAATTAATTAATTTGCAGATTAACAAAAAAGAGCATTGATCTCGATATCCATAATGCAAGACTTTCTAAGTTCTTTGAAACATCTTTATGGCTTCAAAATTTAATTAAAATGTTATTAAACTGTTTCAATTAGGTATTGTTTTACTTTAAGTCTTGAGCACGTTCAGAAGTGTTCTTTATATTCCCACTAGATGTCTCTGCAGGTTTCCTGGTTCATGAATGCCTAAAGTTTGAATGGTTGATGTATCGAAGGATGAAGAATATGGTCTGATGAACTAATGTGGTTGGTTTTATAATCAAGGAAAACCATGGTTTGATCCCAACAAGATTTACAATGTCAAATGAAATTATACAAAACTGGTATTTTCGGTTTTGTGTGTCGTGCAACATTCAATATTTTAACCGCACACACAAACCTTGTGTTGTACGTTACAAATTAAAATTAGAAAAATGGTTGCTGAAAATCAATTATATGGTCTCCCTGATAATTCTGGTTTTATAATCTTTTTTACTGTTTTGAACGATTTACAAGGAATCAAGGAACTTTGGAATTAAGTGACAACTCTTAATCTTAAAAATACTGTACATCATTGCTCGTAAATCTTTTCACTGCATTTCTGCAACAATGAAAATCAAGATTCCGTAAATTCTGACAGATTTTAAATTAGATAAAACAAAATGGACTAAATATATCTTCGTCATTACTTTAAATCAAGATCAAGTCTAAAAGGAAAATTATTTGATTTTGTTCTAAAATCATACAATCAATTTTGCTCCCAGTAAAGTAAAAGATGAATGGTTAGATTAGAGTGCTAACTAAATTTCCATGTTTTTAAGACTTTTTGTGTAGATAAACTAACTCTAATTCTTGAACTACACAGGGTGATTTTTAAAAGTCGAATGAACTGAATTCTATTGAGGGAACCAATGAGTGCCCTGGGGGTCACATATATGGTTTAAACAAATGTTTATAAAAAATTGAATTTTTTTTAATCGAAATTTTTTTTTCTAAATCGATATTTTTTCAAAATTCAATTTTGAAAATTTCCACCAGCAATTACGGGCCCTTCAGCTAGTATTGAATAAGAAAGTATCCTAATTTCTTAATTACCGGCTTAAAAGAATTGACTCTGATTTTCTTATCCCTATATCTTTGGATCCCAACGTCGTAAACCTTTGAAATTTCAAACTATGACTTTTGTTAGATCAAAAAATATAAGTTTGAAACATCAAAGGTTTACGACATTGGGTTCCAAAGATATTGGGATTAGAAAATTAGAGTTTGTGGCAAAGATTCAATTCCTTTGATATTTTTTTGAAGCAACAAAGATTACAAGTCTAGTTGCCTTATACCATTTTATGATAAATAGTTGATGAACCGTAAGATGAAGAATGATGAACTCTATGATGAAATCTATGATAGAAAATGATGAACTCTATGATAACTCTATGATAAAGAATGATGAACTCTATGATACATTTTATGATAAAGAATGATGAACTCTATGATAAAGAATGATAAGCTCTAAGGTAAAGATTGATGAACTCTATACTACACTCTATGATAAACTCTATGATAAAGAATGATGAACTTTATGACGAACTCTATGAAGAACTCTCTGAGGAACTCTATGATGAACTCTATGATGAACTCTATGATAAACTTTATGATAAAGAATGATGAACTATATTGAAGTTATGATGTTGCTCCCACCCACACACCTGGTTTTGTTCCCAAGACCTTGAAGGAAATGGAACGTGTCTGAATCAAGCCTAACAAAGATTATTAACGGTGTCAGCTTCAGTGTACAGAAAGAGTGGGCTGTACTTCTTCCTCTGACTTTACTTGAACAAGTGACTGTACTTATACATGTACAATAATACTTATACTTGCACTTTTGCATGTAGCTATTTCTACGCCTGTACCTCTTATTAGAGTTGTAGCAGTAGTAGTTTAACCCCCCTGTACCTGTACAAAGTACAATGTAAATCAAAGTTTATATTGTGGTCACTGTACTGTACACTCTAGACGAACGAGACTCTGATGAAGATGGTTGCTGTGGAGGATGTCCTAGTTCCCCTGCACAACCAAGAAGTCAGTCAACCTCAACTACATTGAGGTAAAGTTAGGGATCAGGGAGTAGCAGAGGGAGGATTATATAGGTTCGGGGTGTAGCAGAGGGAGGATTATATAGGTTCAGGGAGTTGCAGAGGGAGGATTATTTAGGGATCAGGGAGTAGCAGAGGGAGGATTATATAGGTTCTGGGAGTAGCAGAGGAGGGATTATATTGGTTCAGGGAGTAGCAAAGGGGGGATTTTACGATCAGAGGATCGAGGATTATAGGATCAGAGGATAGAGGATTATAGGATCGGAGGATCGAGGATGATAGGACCAGAGGATCGAGGATTGTTGGATCATAGGATAGAGGGTTATAGGATCAGAGGATAGCAGATTAAAGGACCAGAGGATAGCAGATTATAGGATCAGAGGATAGAGGATTAAAGGATCGATGATTATAGGATTAGAGGATCCACGATTATAGGATCAGAATATAGATGAGTATAGGATCAGAGGATAGAGAATTACAGGATCAGAGGATAGGTGATTACAGGATCAGAGGATAAATGATTATATCATCAGAGGAAAGAGGATTATAGGATCAGAGGATGGCGGATTACAGAATCAGAGGATCGAGGATTATATAATCAGAGGATAGAGGATTTTTGGATCAGAGGATAGAGGATTATAGGATCAGAGGATGGCGGATTACAGAATCAGAGGATCGAGGATTATATAATCAGAGGATAGAGGATTATAGGATCAGAGGATAGAGAATCACAGGATCAGAGTATAGAGGATTATATAGGACCAGAGGATAGAGTATTATAGGATCAGATTGTAAAGAATTATAGGATCAGAGGACCGAGGATTATAGGATCAGAGGACCGAGAATTATAGGATCAGAGGATAGAGGATTATATAGGACCAGAGGATAGAGGATTATATAGGACCAGAGGATAGAGGATTGTAGGATCAAAGGATCGAGGATTATAGGATCAGAGGACCGAGTATTATAGGATCAGAGGATAGAGGATTATATAGGACCAGAGGATAGAGGATTTTACGATCAAAGAATCGAGGATTATAGGATCAGAGCATCGAGAATTATTGGATCAGGCGGAAAATTTGAAAACGAAAGAGATTCAAGGTCTGAAGATGTAATAATAAGTTAGCATTAGACAGTGATAAAAAATGAATAGGATGTGTCCGCGGGGGGGGGGGGGGTTGAAGAGAGGGTGCCAGATGTGTTTTTTCTTTTCAGTATTTCGAACAAAAAATATTTGTCTGCTTTGTGACCTTTGATCTCTAGTTAGAGTTTACAAAGTTGAAAATCATCTTACCCTACCTTCATAAGATACATTCTTACGTACGACCATCACGTGATATACACATTCTAGGACTTAATTTTAGAATACAGTGGTCGTTAGAATATAGTGGAAAAGAAAGATATTTTTACTTCTTTTACAAAACATACATGACATATGAGTTATCAATATTTAGATGCGCCTGAGTGATGATAGAAAACACAAGTGTAAACAGATGTCATGAACCATGCTTTTTTATCTTAAAATCGGCGTTATGCCCCAGAAAAGACTATGAATGGCAGATCTTGGGTTGAAGGGTCGCAAAATGTTAATTATTATTTAAATGAAAAGTGGTATTATTAAAACACTTAATAAAATGATTAATATTACTTGGTTGCGAACTGGCGAAAAGCAACTTTAAATATTTAAACTGGATGTGTGTATTTATATCCTTTAATTAGAAATGTTTTTGACTTTGTTTTCACTTTTGATTAATAAAAGTTAGAAGAGGAAAAGGTTGTATGGAATTTTGATGTCGTGTGAAGCAGATATTACAGCAGTCATAAAAACCCTTATTTTGAACAATTCTGATAAAAGTTATTTTTGGCTCCTTTGCAGGGTTAGACTGATTACGATCCACGGCCATTTTGTCGGATTCTGAGAGGGAGAGGGGGGGGGGGGTTGCAAAAATTATCACCACTTAACTTTTTACGGATTTTACAGTTCTACGCGTCAAGGTTTCAAAAGATTTGTCAAATTTTATGTTTTTACAACAGTACTTGTAAACATAAAATAAACCTTTGGAATGTTTACGAATCTTTAAACTTACTACTTTAAGTATTTGAGCGCAAAAGGTGTTAAAAGAAGAAAATAATTGTTAACCCTATCCCGATGAGGCTATTTTTATCTAGTTTATGTAATTAAAGGGGGGTGGGGTAAAGTTATGGAGAAAAAACACAGGGTAGGGATCGTTGGAAAAGATGTTAGGTACTTTCCAAAAGGATTTTATTTCCCAAGCGACAACTTCCACAAGTGGCAACTTCCCACTGAGTAATTTCCCAAGTGTCAACTTCCCAAGTCCTGCAGCGCCTCAGAGGGGCTAACCTAACCTTTGGGAAGTTGTCGCTGGGAAAATTGCACATTTGGAAATTTACCCTCTCCCACATCGTGATTGAGTTTATAGTTTCTTTTTTATTCATTTTGTTTAGAGTTCCTACTGGTGTTAGAGATAGATCTAAATCTCCAGCTGTTCGCGGGAAAACACAAAACAACCGTGGATTATCTCCCAACGTGCGCGGTCTTTCGCCAAACGTACGCGGCAAATCCCCAAATGTACGTGCAGTATCGCCCAGTGTACGTGCAGTATCGCCCAGTGTACGCAGCGTGTCTCCCAATGTACGCGGGATGAGCCTAAATGTATCTGGAGTCCCCGCCAAGCGTCCAACTAAACTTCTATCTCCGACAGGTTCAAGATTTACTAAGATTTAAAGAGAATGTTCACGGTATGAAGATGTACACATGTAAACAGGGCAACCACAAATAATGATACTTTAATGACGACCTGAAACTCTGTAAGCTGACAGTTTGGAGGTTGAATTTGATCTTGAAGGTGTAATTTAAGATTTGGAAAAGAAAGCTCTGTACAAAACTGTAATTGTTAGAAGAACCACTTATATATACATTCTTTGAAGTCGTTTCTGAAGTCTCATCTTTTGTCGGATAACCTTGTTTTAGTATTTTACATTAAAACATGTTTTTATCTTTCATACTATTAGAAAATGTTCATTAAAGTTTTAAAACCTTTGGAGTTTGGGATTTCCAAGGTGTGGTCTAACTTCTGCGTAACTTAAAATTGAGTTATCTAAATAAACAGTTTCTTATTACATAAATTAGATAAAAAGGGGCCATTTTTATTATTTTTGAATTCATTTTTAACATCAATAATTTTATCCTTCAAGGTCCGTATAATCATTCTTTTCTGGATCTAGAATTGAAATTGGAAAAATAACAATATGATTCATAATAGGTTCAAGCCGGGCTTCATCACGACCATCTCCTCGTCCCTCCCCTCGACCTTCACCTCTGCCCTCTCCAAGGGCTTCTCCTTCCCCAAGGAATAGAAATTTGAAATTAGAAATAGCTTGGTAATAAATAACCAATGCCCTTTGTCATAAATCATTTTTAAATTTTGATATATCTGTCTGAATGTTTTTTTCGCATTTCACTTTACTTTTTTGGACCACTGCAGTTACTTAACGAAAAGTATACATTTTTCCTAAAATTATGGTATTTTTCTTTATTGATTTTCATTTTCTTTTGTGTTTTAGAGCTTCTCCTTCTCCCAGGGCTTCTCCAGGAAGGTGAGCTAAACCAAAATTTTTTTAAAATTCAAAAATTTTAATTTTCTGACAAAAAAAACCCCCATCCAATAACTTAAAGAGGAACAGGCATAAGCTAAACAGAGTGTCTTTTAGTTTTAAGTGACCCATCATTTATAGGGTTGAGTGTCCTATTCACAGCGGTACTCTCATTATCTCTGAATCTGAGTAAAAATAAGAGAGATTTGTATTTTTAGGTTAAATTACTTTCCTCTAATGTCTTTACTTTATAAATCCGCAAATCACTCCTACGATTAAATATCTTTTAACAAGAAGCACTAATTTTTGATCAAATAAAGGTTTAAAGGGTATGGTTGTGAATAGGGAATATACATTTGTTTAACTATGTCATCAGTCTCTTTATACTAGACTGCTGGTTACCAAACATTATATAAAGAAAGAAACACGGCTTTTTTGTCTTTTGACTGTTCTAGAAAATTCTATATATATATATATATGTATATGTATATATTTAGGCATGTAACTGGACGAGGAAACTCTCCAATCAAATCTTTAAGGTAAACCTATTGGGCACATTTTTGAAAAAAATGCTAAATTTCACCTTGCACCAGTTTAATTCTTTGATACATTTAAAAAAAAAAATTTGAGAATTTTTTTCTAATTTCAAACTTATTCAGAGTTTTGCTTTTTAGTGTAAAGTTTTAAAAGTACATAAAACGAAGAAATGGACATTTTTCAGCAGTTCAAGGCGCATATGTTGATACCGGTATATCAATGTGCTTTGAAAATATTGAAAAATCGACCTCCACTGATTTTTGATTTTTAAAGTTTTTTATTATAAATGTTGCTTATTGTTTTACTACTATACACATCTTTTGCTGCTGCAAACAGGGTTTGACATTTTCGAAAAAAGATATTTTCATTTCACTCACAATTCACAGATTATTAGATCTTACTAATCCCAATTCACAAATAATCAGATCTTATCAATCCCAATTCACAGATAATCAGATCTCACCAATACCCATTCACAGAGTAGCAGATCTCACGAATCACAATTCGGATCTAAACCATGATTGGCAAGGATCTCAAATTATAGCAAAACTTTAATTTCAAACTTTTAACTCCATTTTTTATTAAATATTAAAAATTAAATTTGTGCATAGTCCCTTTAAAGAATTTAAATTGTTCAGATCCCCAGCTTCTCCTACCAAGACACTTCCAGGAGAAATAGATCTGAATGATCCGGAGGTATCTTTTTATGAAACATTGCAAATTATCTTTTTATGAAACATTGCAAATTATCTTTTTATGAAACATTGCAAATTATCTTTTTCTGAAACATTGCAAATTATCTTTTTATGAAACATTGCAAATTATCTTTTTATGAAACAATGCAAATTATCTTTTTATAAAACATTGCAAATTATCTTTTTATGAAACATTGCGAATTATCTTTTTATGAAACATTGCAAATTATCTTTTTATTAAACATTGCAAATTATCTTTTTATGAAACATTGCAAATTTTCTTTTGTGGAACATTTTACAAATTATCTTTTTATGAAACACTACGCAATTTATATTTTTTATGGAACATTACGCAAATTATCTTTTTATAAAACATTGCAAATTATCTTTTTTTAAACATTACGCAAATTATCTTTTTTCTGGAACATTGCGCAAATTATCTTTTTACAGAGCAAATCTTTTTGTGAAAAGTTACGCAAATTATCTTTTTTATGAAACATTTCGTAAATTATCTTTTTATGTGACATTTCGCAAATTATATTTTTATAGAACATTACGCAAATTATCTTCTTATGGAACAATACACAAATAATTTTTTATGGAATTATACGTAAGTTATTTTTTTATGAATCAATAAGAAAAGTATCTTTTATGGAACATTACGCAAATTATCATTTTAGTGAATAATATGCAAATTATCTTTTCACGGAACAAACCTTAAAGTATCTTTTCATGGAAAACATTCCGTAGTTATCTTTTATAAACCATTAAAAAATATTTTTCCTATTTCATTCTTGCACACTTTCCAAACGAGTTTAATTCTATTTGATTTGATTTACTTCAATTTTAGTTGACGCATTGTCTCCTATCCTGTGTAATTACAGTAATTACAAAACTAGGGAACTTTCTCTTGATTTAACTCATTTTTCTTTAGATTCAAAACAAGATTGGAAACAGGGCAACAAAGACAGTAAACAAACCGACAAGTAAGATATATTTATTATCACGGGCAGCCGTAGTACATTTGAATGTCCGAGCCTGGTCAACCATTCCGGTCCCAGTTTTGTACTGTATCCCCCGGACATTGGTTAAATAAAGCAGGCCCTCAATAGGACTAGCCGTTGCAACAAGGTTGACGCGGTCAGACTTTAGGTTCAATTTACTTTTACTAAAGGGTCAGAGGTGCGTGTCATGTAATAATACTCATTGTATTAACAAATGAGTTTTGTGGTATATTACCACATAGATCCAGAAATTTGCATCTGCAATCAAAAATGTGTATACTTTAAGATGACGCATTGCATTTGGCCTTTAATTATACCTAACTAAACAGCTTATAGCCCAAGACATGTTAATTTTTGAACTATAATGCACTTGATTTTAGCTTTAGTATTAAACAATGTGTCGACTTTAAAGTGTCGCCATGCCTTTGGCTTTTGATTTTTCCAAACTGAACATCTTATAATTTTTTGAGTGAGAGCTTACATACAACCTTTGAATATCTGAATATCTGTGCAGTCTTTATACAGCTGATTGAATCAATTTTCTTCCTATATATTTTACATGTACAGAGAAATAAACCTTATATTTTACATGTACAGAGATATAAACCTTATATTTTACATGTACAGAGATATAAACCTTTTATTTTACATGTACAGAGATATAAACCTTATATTTTACATATTTTACATGTACAGAGATATAAACCTTATATTTTACATGTACAGAGATATAAACCTTTTATTTTGCATGTACAGAGATATAGACCTTATATTTTACATGAACAAAGATATAAACCATATATTTTACATGTACAGAGATATAAATCTTTTAGTTTACATGTACAGAGATATAAACCATAAACTGTAAAAAGTTGAACATTTGAATCAAAGTTTAAAAACCATTTTAAAGCAGATTTATGAATCATAAAAAACCAAGGCGACATTTTTAATATTTAGTTAAAAATCAGCTAAATAAAAGTAGAAATTGTGCAGAATTGAAAATGGTACATGGCTTTTCTATTTTAATATCATGTAGTGTTAGAACAAAAACCATGTACATAAACTTTACACTGAATCCTACGCATGTACATATAAGACCAAATGTTGAACAAGGAGCTAGCTTATAGACATTTGTTAAATGAAAACAATTATTGACTTGGCGTGTGCATATTCATGTAGGCGCTTAAACACATTCAACACAGAAGCTGTTCATAATAAAAAACTTAAATTTGAAAATAAGTTTGTAAAAAAACATTGATTGAACGCTAGACGTTTTTTAGTGAATATTTTGACGAAGTGTCGGTTTAACGAGAATAATGATTAGTTATTAAGAGTGTGTATAGTAGTTGTATGCATATCTCAGATCAAGGCAAGCAATCAACCCACGGGAAACATGTAGGAGTAAACAGTGAAATGATCAAACCATTTCTCAAACCATGATAAACATCAAACCCCCACTCTCCTCCTTGTTCTCCTAGTCCTTCAGTACACCCGGAGTAGGATTAGAAACCGTCCCGACCATCTAATTTATCAATGTCACTTTCGATTGTTTTACAATTTATTATTCAGGCGTTCTTTGACATTTCAAGAAATCTATATATAAAGGAATTGAGTCTTTGGAACAAAATCAAATATTTAAACCAAAATATCTTTAGAACTCGATGTTGTAAACCTTTGATATTTCAAACTCAGATTACTTGATGTAACAGAATTCAAAGTTTGAAATATTTAAGGTATGCAACATTTGGTTCCAAAGATATAGTGATTAGAAAATCAGAGTTTGTGGCAAAGACTCAATTCCTTTGGCTTGTCTGTCTGTTTGTTTGTATCCAATAAACGTCAAAACGGCTGAACCGATCGGGCCCAAATTTTTTGTGGGACATCACGTGACCACAGGGAAGGTTTATGAATGATCTAATTTTCAAATATTTGTCTCCATCAAAATTCGATCTTCATTAAATTTTTAAAAATTTTGAAAATCCACGAAATTTTTTGTGAAAATCCGCGAATTATTTTTGTTTTGTTTTACGATGTACACAAAGAGAACATGTTCACAATTAATTTAGAAAATGGGCGCGAAGCGCCCTCTAAGGCTAGTAAGATAAATACGTTTACACAGCAAACTAGAATCAAGAAGAAGGTCAAATTTATTCGATATTTCTGGTTCAACTTTGCGACTCTGTAGCCCCTACTGTACAGATTTCACCCACACGTACGAAATATGTTTGTTCTTCTCAAAAGCTCTTCAATAAGAGCCTTAGAGGAGTTATAATTGAAAACAGATATGATTTTTAATTGTAAATACAGTTTACTTTAGTTTATAACATGTTTATAACATACAGTTTACTTTAGTTTAACGTGTTTATAACATACAGTTTACTTTAGTTTAACGTGTTTATAACATACAGTTTACTTTAGTTTAACGTGTTTATATACATGATAAATATGTTAAGTCAAGTTTTAAAGGGACTATAATTACCCGCTATACGCGTTACTCTTGCAACCTTTGACTAATAAATAATGAAGAAAATATTGTCGTTTTTCTAGGGTTAAAAGTGTTTAATTTTGATCATTCCTTTATGTTTTCTTGCAGTACAGATGCGCAAAACACTTTTATAGAGAAACCACAACTGAAAATAACCATTTTTCAAAATGGTAAACATTGATATCTGATTCAAACTTTTAAGGGGCATTGCTATCATTGTACGGAGGTTTGCCTAAAATGACGGGTGTAGTTCATGTAAGATTAATTTTACATTGTTAACCCTAAACATGCCGGGGGGGGGGGCGTTTGACGTCCCCCCCTGTTTGTCCTAGCACTCTCATTTACATTTTTAAAAATTTATATAGTAGGGTTCAGGGCGGAAAAAAGTCCTGTCTGTGAAAAAAATCTGAAATAGTCCATAACTTTTTTGTGACTAAAGCTACAGATCTAAAAACTATATTTTTAAATAGCCCTTGAAAAATTCATGTAGAAACATGTGTCACACTTTGAGATTTGTTAGAAACAAATTTTTTAAATTTTTTTAACCCTTTTTTAGGCATTTTTTTCAACCCTCCCTAGCGCCCAAACCATTAAAGTTATTTTTACAATTTTTTTCAATGAGCTGGCCTTGAAAAATTGGGCTATGAACATGCATTTCAACCTTATACATATTCTCTAAGGCTTTTTTCTAGGCTATACATAGATTCAGACCCCCCAGCCTTCATAGGGTTAACGATTATTTTGCGTAAATTCGTGCTCAACTATCGAAGAAAATCTTTTAAAAAAACAATTGTTAATTTTTCCTTCTTTCAAATTTGCACAATATCTATTTTCACGATGATAGTTATGTTTATTTTGCAAATTTCTCATTGTATCTGTAAACAACAAAGATGCAAAATTTCATATTTGCATCCTTAACTTCACTTTAACAACCAAGCGAGGTATGGATTTTAGTAAAAATATATTCTATATTATTAAACTTGAAATATTCCCGTCCTAAGATTCTCCGAATTATTAAAAATGTTATTTTCACTGCTTCACCAACTCACTTTAACTTTTTTTGTAGTTTTATACATTTATATTTTTAAATGGGAAAGTTCTTGTTTTTGGCTTAAGTTCAAGAGAAGTAGTTGGCAAAATACTGCTCTATTTTTGCGTGAAAAAGCGTGACTATCTTAGTTTGCGGTGACCTAAATTGTTGGCAATTTCTCCTTTCAAACTTGAGGTAGAAACGAGCTCGTTGAATCTTTTAAAATCTACAATTTCAACATAACTAGGTCTACAAAAAAGTTTAAATGAATTAGCAAAGTAAAAAAATGTCCAGGCGTTGCGACACTTTCAAGTTGATCCGGTCTTGGTAGTTGATGCACATTTTTCATTGCTGCCTGAATCTCAGTGTGTCTAAGACGAAGAAGAAAAGCAATTTACTTTTATAGGGATAATTATATAAAACAAAAACAATACCCATTTCAAACTTATATTTTTGTATAAGATTGTAAAGTTAATGAGTATTTACTTACCACAACATCTGATATTCTAATAATTATGTCTTTGCCACCCAATGACCTGAAATATATCAAACTATGAATTCCTGAGAGCTCAAATTATCAAAGTTTGAAATATCAAAGGCTGACACCATCAGGTTGCAAAAATATAAGTATTACAAATCTGAGTTTGTGGCAGAAACTCAATTCCTTTGCTTCTTCTAAATAGAATACAAAAATGTTATGTTAGTTTTAGTGCACAAGGATGAAATCTATTTTCATTTGAATTTAAATAAATTTAAATTCAAACCCGCTAGCCATCCATTGATGGACACTAAGATTACCCTAGGGGGTAATCAATAATAAAATTAAATAATTTGAAAATTCTATTACATGGCAATCATTCAGGAGTACAAATGCAAGAACATGGAATATCTTATTACATAATGAATTAAAGATATCATGTGAAATAGAGATATTATACATTGACCCTGTGGATAAGTTGCAAAATTGTTTGAATTAATTGAATTGATAATTTTTAATTATAATCAAATCCTGCATACAATTTTCTAATCCCTCTGTCTTTGAAACCCGATGTAGTAAACCTTACAAATTTCAAACTATGAATTCTTAGCTTGAAATCTCAAAGGTTTACACCATTAGGTTTCAAAGATATAGGGATTAGAAGATCTGCACTTATGGCTCAATCCTTTCTGGTAAAATGGCAAAATCTTTTCTTAAATCGTTGATTAAAAAAGGTTCAGGTCATCATCAACCTCTCAACCTTTAAACATAGGTAGGTATCCTTATTTACCCTCATAAATATCAAAATAACCGAATGTACAGGAAACTGTGATAGCTGTTTGAAACCTCTAACAGAAGATGGTTGCACTGCTTTTGGAAAAGTTTATCACAAGGATTGCTTTAGGTAAATATTATAAAATTTCTGCAAGTTAAAAATAAAATTTGTTGATAAATTGTAAAATATTCTTCAAATTTAAACCTTTTTTATTCTTTATTTATTTCCTATATGGCTTACGCAGTTTAGAATTGATCTTTTAAACAACTTTTCATTTCTTTTTTTCGTTTTTTTATCGTTCACTGTTATCTGAATCTGAATAATCTGAATATTAAATTCATCTCTTATACTTTTTCAGCGAGCTAAATGACAGATATTTTAAGTAAAAAATAGCTGATGATGAGAAGTTTGTGTTTTATATTTTCTAATCCAGGTGTAAAAGCTGTTCCAAGAGACTTGAAGGGAAATTTTTCACTAAAGATGACGATCCTTACTGTCAGAAGTGCTACAAGGTTTGTTTTATGTATTCACACATAAATGTATACTTTTATGTAGTATGCGTAATCTAGAAATAATGCTCTTTGCTCATACATATATATAAATTTGTTAGCTATAGCTGGCCGAACGGCTAGGCAAAACTGTTTTTGAAATTCCACAGGCAACGTCGGGCACTTCAGCTAATACGTATATGTATATGTAATTCGCTTGTTCGTTTTCGGTGCTGAACGTCACTTCGAAGTATTCGTATTTTGAGTGACATAATTGAAGTACATATACTATGGGCACATTGCACAATGCACAACAGTTCAAAAATTTATGAAGAAAAAAAGGACGTAAATCATATTAAATTAGTTACATTTTCAATAAAATATTCAATTTATGTTTTTTTTTAAATAACAAAAATATCCAACCAACTTCTTTACGAGCCGTTTCATTGATACGCTTAAAAGTCTAATTTTTCAACCCCCCCCCCCACCCCCTTCTGTGTCAAATTGAAGGGACTGTAAAGGAAAAATGAAAGGTGGTAAAGGTTGAAACCTAAGCATTTCAGGAGTTGATTGAGACCTATGAGTTCTATCTGATGTTCCTGTCCCGAGAAATTGATATAAAACTGTGTCAAAATTATACCCTAACTTATAAATGTAAGATTTTGTATAAGATATCCTAGAAGACCCTGAAAAACTCAGGTTTTCTCCTATTCTTGTTTGAATTTATTAATTTTCAATTTTAATAGATGTAATTGAAAATATTATTTATATATCCAAAACTCCCTCCAATGGTTATGCAGTATTATTGTCACGTGTCTCCGCTGTATTGACCTGTATACTGCACTGCACTGCCATATGGATAGTGTTCTTGTCACGAGATACGGACGTATAAATAATATTATCAATTATATCTATAAAAATGAACATTTTAAATTCAAATAATAATAGGAGCAAACCTGAGTTTTTCAGGCTCCTCTGGGATATCGTCGTTTTCAGATTGGTTGTGTATTTGCTGCAAATGATCAGTTTAAAAATTTTAAACATTTTGTCTTGGAAGAAATATATATTTAAACATCTAAAATGTATATTTAAACTGAAAAAGTTGAAAATACTATATATATATATATAAGTTTTGGTATAATTTTGACACAGTTTTATATCAATTTCTCGAGACAGGAACATCAGATAGAACTCTTTTAGGTTTCAATCAACTCCTGAACTGCTCAGGTTTCAACCTATACCCCCTTTTATTTTTCCTTAACAGTCCCTTTATTGAGAATAATATTCTTTAAACCTAGAACAAGGAAGAGTGATGTGAAAAATTGGTTTTAATTATTTTAGTAATTAAAACGGAAAAGGGTGGGGGCAGAGATTTTACAATACGATTAAAATTTAAGAAAGATAATTTTGGCAGGGTTTCTAAGGCTTGTGTGGGGGGTCTGGTTCATTTATTTAAATTAAAATCTAAAATGAGAAAAGTGTAAACTGATTATAGGAGAAAGTTTTAATTGTAAACAAAGAATTCTATTTTTCAAAAGTAAAGGAAAATGTATTTTATAGCGTTTCTAAATTTAATTTAAAATCCGAATTAACGTTACAGGACCCAGGACCAGGTTCACGCAAGCCAATTAACGTAAACAAATGATTTTTATAAACATTCCTAAAGATTGTATAACATTTTCACAATTTCCGAGGAGATAGAAAAATAATTTGGACATCTGAGTAATATGTGTGCTAATATGAAACCACAGGCTATGTATTGTAAATATTTACAAAACAGACATTAGTGGTTCTCGACGAAACATCAAACAAGTGACCGCCCCCTCCCCTTTACTTATAACCCCCCCCCCTTAATTACTTACATCCACCCCCCCTCTCTAACTGGATTGATATGTGTAATTTTGACTTCAGAATCCCTGTAAAGACTTGCATAACTTTGCATAATAATGCAAGGGTAAAAAAAGGGATGGTTCCGGAATTAAGTCATTGTATGCCTACATGCTGTTAATTTAAATCTCAAAATCTATATTTATAAAAAAAGCGCCTCGTCATTTTTAATTTTACATTTATGTATTTTTAATTTTAAATTTCAGATTCCTTAACAGTCCCTTGACGAGTAAAACAGTAGTTGTTGTTTGACATTTGACGAAGGGTGAGGGAAGGGAGGGGGAGGGGGGAGCGGATGGTGCGTAAAAAAGGGTATAAATTTGGGGCCGCATACGGTTGAGGGGATAAAAACAAACATAATTTATAAAAAAACATCCTAAAATTACATGACTCAGAGTAACCCAAGGTGGGGCGCTCACACGCACAGTGCAAGCACGGATTCAACTTGGTTTCGTGAAACATCAAACATCCGCGCACAAACATTTATAAACATCAGACATGCGTGCATTGTGCAAACATTTATAAACATTAGACAAACCTGTAAATATTTGATATGCGCACAAACATTTCTATAATTTTAAAGCAAACCAAAGACCAAGGAAGGGTAAAGGGCAATTTTCATTTTAATCCTTTTGATTGTATTTTATAAAATTCTGTAAATGGAAATTAGAAGAATTTCTTTAAGAAAAAGCTATCTATAAGTACAATGCACATATTTTAAAGGTCACCCTGTAGGAAAATGGCAGAAATATAGGATATGAATACAAAGTTGTGGTTCCTGGTTTGAATATGAATAAACATATTAAAGTGTTTAAGTGTCTTGGAGTCACTCCAACATAGACGTAATAGAAGACGGAGGGGGAGAGGGGGGGGTAGGTGTATGTGATTGGAATTGTAGGGAGGAGGGCAGGAATAGAAGGAATCAAGGAGGGTAGGAATAGAAGAAATGGGGTGAGTAGGAATAAAAGAAATGGCGAGGGTAGGTATAGAAGGAATTAAGGAGGGTATGAATAGAAGAAATGGGGAGGGTAGGTATAGATGGAATTGAGGAAGGTAGAAATAGAAAGACTTGAGGAGGGTAGGAATGGCAGGTATTGAGGAAGGTAGAAAATAGAAGAAATTGAGGAGGGTAGGAATAGAAGAAATTGAGGAAGGTAGGAATGGCAGGAATTGAGGAAGGTAGACATAGAAGGAATTGAGGAAGGTAGGAATAGAAGGAATTAAGAAGGATAGAAATAAACGGAATTAAGGAGGGTAGGAATAGATGGAATTGAGAAGGGAAAAAATAGGAGGAATTAAGGAGGGTATGAATAGAAGGAATTCAGGAGGGCGGGAGTATGAAGGAATTAAGGAGGATAGGAATAAGCGGAAAAGAGGAGGATAGGAACAGAAGGNAAACCATTATTATGGCAAATTTCATCAATTCATCTTATTTGCTCTTGTTAAATATCATAAAAAGACTACAATTGGGGGTATTTAACTGCAAAACTGGAGCACACTTCTATATAATTTATATTGTTTAATTGTTTACTTGCAAACACTACCTTAATGTTTACGAGGACTAGTATTATAACTATTATTCCGGCTAATCTGTTTTATATATTCTAGCGGCCATGTTTGCCAGATTCGATCATCTTTTCATGTCGACGTTTTATAAAAACCAATTAAAATATTTTAACATTTTTGGGCAGATCTGTTCTAAATATTTAATCAATACACCGCTCTCATTCCTTATTCAAGTGTGTAGATTTATGGGCTTAAAGATAAAAATAATAGATAAAGATGTAAAAAAATCAAATAGATTGTAGTACAATAGATGGCAACGTAGAATTTTTACACTCTCAGTACAGTTGTATTCTGTCGTCACAAGTGTCAGTTCAGTTTTTGTGTCGGACAAAATTATTAATAATATTGATAATTTTAGAATAAAGTGCTTTTCTTACAGTGAAATAAGTGCAATTTTATGTGTTCTTTAGTTTCTGTTTTTACACTTCTTTATCTAATCTTGGAAAACATGTCAACTAATGTGAGAAAATTTCGCTTTCCTTGTTATATTTGACACTGGTGACGTCATGTATAATTGGTCCATTTCTCTGTTGCCACCTATTGTACTTGATAATCTATTTGAAAAAAATCAACTTTGGGAAATTGTTCGTCTGCATTTGAAACTTTTATTCCATTTGCTCAAAATAAACAGTTTTTAAATTATTTTCTTTATTGTTAAAACATATTTATTTTCATCATAAACTGAATAAATTTATGCACAAAAGGCCTTTTTTAAATATAAAAAAAGTTTTTTTTAAATTATAAAACTAATAATAATCGTATAATACAGTGACTTAATACCATTTGTAATTAAGTACTTTTGTCATTTTTGATTAGGGTTTAAATTCATTTCTATTCATTTTATTACATTTTGCTCTGATTGCAATAAAGCATGTCTGGTATTTTATTTAAATGAAGTTTAAGAAGTTTTTATTATTTAAATTGTTTAAGTTAAAATTGCTAAGAGTAGAATACAACTTGTTGTGTATAAGCGAACAAGAAGTATTCGAAATAAAAGTAAAGATGATCAGTGCGCGCACATATTTATACATGGATGTACGTTCCAGCAGCATCATATAAAACGCAAAGAAAAACATTTCTCCAGTGTGCGCGCTGAATGTTAAATGTGTAAATGTGCGTGGGAGGAACCATTAGTAGCGTGCTTCATGAATATGCGCGCTAAGCAGGTTTCAATACAACATGTTATTATTGTCAGGGGCGTATATAGTAAGGGTGGAGGCTTATTATTGAGGCTTAGATCTAACCCCCTCCTGGAATGTCAAAAAAGTCAAACTCGCCCCTACCTGGACAAATCCCTGTATACGCCCCTACCTGGACAAATCCCTGTATACGCCCCTACCTGGACAAATCCCTGTATACGCCCCTACCTGGACAAATCCCTGTATACGCCCCTATGGTCAAAATTTTGATTTTAAATGTTCTCCGTGCAGTGCTCAATTTTTAGCGGTGTTTAGTCCGCGTTCAGCGTTAAAAGCCGAGCATTGTTGGCTTAATTCAGGTGCTTCTAAGCTAACTGCCTTAACAGGGGTCATGCATCAAAGGTTCATTCAATAATAGGCTTAGTCACTTAGTGGGCGGGAGGTGGGCGGGGTGAGGGGAAAGGGGGGGTTACAAATGATGTTTTTGATGGGAGTAAAGGTGTGTTTTGAAGTAGCAAGCCCCAAAGGTTTACTTCATCAATTATAGCTTTTTAGAGCCAATAACCCCTATGAAACCATAAACCCATTAAAATTTAAAGCCTCCAAACCCCATGAATCCCGAAATTTCCTTTATCACCCAAAAACAACATGAAGCCCATGAACGTTCTAAAGACCCTCTAATCCCCTGAAGCCCCGAAATGCCTTGAAGCCCCCAAATCCACTGAAGCCCCTAGACGCCCTAAAGCCCCTGAAGCCCCTAAACCCCCCTTGAATCCTGTAATTTTTAGTGTCATGTCTGTGATGAAAAGCTGCGTGGGAGTTACTTCTTCTTCCAGAATAAACCCATCTGTGAGAAGGATTTCCAGGTTAAGCAAATACTTGTCAAATAATCAATATATCATCATCATAATCATCTGTGCCTCAAAAACAACCCAAAAATAGTGTTCTCAAGGTCTTATCTTGTTGTTTTTATTTCCAACTAACATCATAATAAAGTCAATTTATTTTGATTTAAAATCTAATTTGTTTTAAAACACAAGTCTCTTGCTTTTCTCACGCTAGTTAGGGGCCCCTGGGTTTTCAGTGAACGAAAACTTTCGCGAACAAATGCAGAATTTCCTGGGAATAAAGATGCGAAAATTCGCGAAAAAATGAGAATTTTTTTCGTAGAACTTATTTTCGCGAAATTTTCGTTTTTTTATGAACGGAATGCAAAAAATGCAATATTTTCGGCGAAACAACAATTCCCCATTTCGCTGGAAACCATAGTAACGGCGAAGATAGGAGTTTGGAGGTCTCAATGCCGGTTCAGTAATTCCATATACAATGAACTTCGTATTCACAGTGGGTTCATTTAACATTAATTTATTAACTTATTAATTTATATATATTTATAAATAAATAAAACTAATAATACAGTGAAACCCTTAATAACGAATACATCGAAAGAATTCATCAAATGTCGTATTCTTCACTTTCTGATAATGGAATGTTGCAGATATTAAGTTTTTTTTAATTAAATGATTATATGGAACTCTTTATAACTGTTCCCGCATATTGATGGATATTTATTTATTTTCGCAAATACTGAAATTTACGCAATAAAGTATAAAACTCATTGAAAAATTGTCAAGACGACATTTGATAAATTCTTCCGATGTATTCGTTATTAAGGGTTTCACTGTAGTAGTTTGCATGTTTATATTTGTTTGTACGCCCAATCATAATTGCACATCCCTTTAGCCAATTTGCCTCAAATTTTGATTGGTGAACTCGGTAAAACCATGAATTCTTAAAAGTCTGCGGAGATTCTTTAGAAATATCCTTTTTTTAAGAAATCGTAAATTTTTAAATTCTAAATTCGAACATAGCTGTAGTTAAAGGACTTTATTAGGTTGAAGTGATTTATCTGAGTTGACTTCAAAAAGACGTTTTCAGGCAGTTCCTAGGTAGTCAGGCAGTAGGCTTAGGGCTTTGACTTTTTTACATTTCATCTTTTAGAAAAATCACATAATTTGTGGATCCAATTATGGTTCGATTAAAATCGCAACAAAAGTTAAAACTTGAGACTACAGTTACGTTTGAGTTATGACCTGAAAATGGATTTCTACAATTATTGAAAAGTGAAATTTCTCAAAAAGGGCTTTAAAGATGTCTTTTTAGAATGCACATCTTCTATAACCCTACCATACATGCCTGAATTTATAGAACAAAAATGTCAAGTCAAAAAACCTGAAATTGCATGCTATTAGAGCACAGTGCTTTGGGCATGGATAGTTTAGTTTGCAGACCGATAGTTTTATATCTTTATATTTTTGTATCAGAACACCCAGCAAAGCTGCTCTGAGTGTGGAGAGGTTATTGAAGGAACATACTATTCACTCAATAACAAGGTCTACTGTGAGAAGGATTACAAGGTAAAATCATTTCAAAATTTATTCCTTAAAGATGTTTTCACAAATTTCACCTTAGAAAGTTTAAACTTGATAATTTTGAAAATATTTGCATGTCTGGAAAGACCTGGAAAAATGTCTTAAAACCTGTGTCACAAATAATTTTTTTGTAAAATCGTTAAAGCTGAAAAAAGACAGGGAAATATTAATATTTTTAAAGGGAGTGTTCGTGAAAAATGAAAGGGGGTATAGGCTTGCAGCGAAAAATAAGCGCTTTTGATTGCTACTTATATTACTTTTATCTGTTGCGTCTATAATGAGAAAATTGTTAAAAACGACTAATACCGAAGAACGTAGTGTCCATACAAATTCAGAAAGATGCAACATTCAACTCAAATCGTAAACAAATCAATTTAATTCCAAACAAATCATTCAGATATTACAAACAATAGTCATCGATTATTTTTCGACGCATTCGTAAATAGTTGATATTTCATAATATTTTGTATTTTTCATGATCTGAGAGTTACTTTTGAAATCATTTATTCCTGTTTCGAGGATTTTTGATAATGAAGACGACATTTTCACATTTTCCAGGAATGTTTGAAAATCCAGTGCCAGCGAAAATTATTTTTTTTTTAAATCAAAAATATTATGAAATATTAACTATATACGAAGCGTCGAAAAATAATCGATGACTACTGTTTGTAATATCTGAATGATTTGTTTGGAATTAAATTGATTTGTTTACGATCCGAGTAGAATGTTGCATCTTTCCGAATTTGTATGGACGCTGCGTTCTTCGGTGTGAGTCGTTTTTAACAAATTTCTCCTTATAGACGCAATAGATAGAAGTAAGATTAGTAGCGATCAAAAGCGCTTATTTTTCACCGTAACCCTATACCCTCTTTAATTTTTCGTGAACACTCTCTTTAAGCCCCAACCTTTCTCTCCCTTAAAGTTACAAATAATCTTCAAATTTTAAAAAGTGAGCTGGCCTCAGAAAATCTAGCCTCTTGCACATAAAGCATACATAGAACCTGAATACTATAAGAATGCCTTGTTAGTGCCCCTTCCTCCTTATGATGCACGCTCCTACAGAAAATATTAGCTTAGATTTGACAAAAACTCTTCTTCCACTGAAAATAGAAAATTGCGCTGTGGTTCTAAAATGTGTAAATGAATCTACCAGAATTTTCAACTTTCAAGGGGGGAGGGGGATACCTTCCACCCCCTGTAAATAATCTGTGTTTTAATCCAGGCCTACACTGATGAATGCGGGTCCTGTGGAGAACCTATTGCTGGAAAAGTAATTAAAATTACAGGAGCTGCCTTTCATCCACACTGCTTCAACTGCCAGGTTTTTATTATGATAATTACTAGCTCAAGTACTTGGCGTTGCACGCGTAATTAAAAAAAATTGGAATTTTCAAAAAAAATTGGAATTTTAAAACAAACAAATTAAGGTTAAAAAAATAAAAGAATTTAGATTTTAAATTTTTTTTTTCTAGCCTATAAAACCCCTGGGGTACCCATGGGTTTCGTCAACTAATTTAACCCATTCGGTCCATAAATAAATGTATATTATTTTTTTTATCATTATTCTTATTATTATTATTATTATTTTATTATATTATTAAAAGGAGTGTAACTCTAATATGGTTGGACTACCCTTCTCTACTGATCAAGAAAACACTGTTTATTGTCCAGAAGATTTTACAAGGTAACAAAATCATTCTTAAATTGTTATAAATTTCTAAAATTATAGTTTGCACTTTAAATATGCAAAAAAATGCAACACATAAACGGATGAAAGATAAGTTTTTCTTGCCTTTTTCTTACCTTACCTATTATTTCCGATGCAAAAGTTTAAGAAACTTGTTGTCCCTGGCTCATGTCCTAATAATATACAAATGGCAGTCAAATGTAAACAGATTATTTTTATAACTTCAGCAAATTCTGAACTGTGCTACGAATTAGTCAAAGTGCCATGAAAGTTGATGTAAACTAATTAAATTTGATATCCTATAACGTTTTAAAACGTGTCTAAAATCTTTAATTCATTAAAAGTGCAATTTAATTTTAATTTAGTTATTTTTGTAAATGCATAACATCTAAAATGTTTTTAAAAAAATTCTTGAACTGCACAATATATAATTTTATGAACAAAAGACATTTAGGTTATTTAAGAAATTTTTTTTAACTTTCCGACCAAATTACAATTGTCTATGCCGGTGTCACTTCTAAGATATATGAGGAACTTTTAATTGTTCAATTAGTTCAGCAATCAGATTCTTATCTAGACTTGCCCAGCTTTAGACAAGTATCTTTATTTTTTATCTCAGACAAGGGTCCAGTTTAGTTTACTCAACTTTAGATCATATACCAGAACTATGCGTTTTAATTTCTATACCAGAGCTATATAATGTTGATACCAGATTTCTCGTATTGTGGAAAAGAACTATAGATCTTAATACCAGAACTCTAATACTTGTAACAGACTTTACTGATCTTTAAAATTTTTATGCTATAACTTTAATATTTTGATATGTGTATGGTTCTTTATATTGAGACATATAGTATATGAACAAAATAAAGACAACTATAAACTTCAATTTTGATTTATACCAAGCTTTCAAACAGCTTGCATACACATTAAAATGGAAACAAAGAGAAGCTTTCCATTAAATACTCTTTTAAAGTTTAGTAGTTTGAAAAAGGCTTGTTAGAAATCTAAACCGAAAAAGAAATGACATCCTCAATGTATTGATATAAACGCCGACCACTGTGTATTTATATACTAGCCTTTATTTATTGTACCAAAACTCTTTCATTTTGTATTCATATAATACTCTGAACCCCCCTGGACTTATATTTAATCCCAGGGTTTTAGGGTGCTTCGCGTCCATCTTCTCTTTCAAGTAAGTGGCTCTATCTGTGAGCATCTTCTCTTTGTACAACAAAAACAATAACAAGAAAAGTTCGCGGATTTTATAATATTTTTTGCGCATTTTTAAAATTTAACAAAAATCCAAAATTTTTCTAAATTTGAGCATTCATAAACCTTCCCTGGTCTCATATGAGGTCACATAAAAAATTTGGGCAAGATTGGTTCAGCCGTTTTGTCGTTTATTAGATACAAACGGACAGAAAAACATACAAATAGACAGGTAAAGCATACATTTAGATTCATGTTTTTATATATTCTCCAGGAAGTTTGCTGCTCTCTGTACAGTCTGTAAGAACCCTATAGTTCCTAAGGTGGGTGTTAAAAATCAGTTGATTAGTTGATTTATTCAGGAATTTGAAAAGCGCTATTGTGATTTATTGATTATTTGATTGATTATCTGATTAACCAATTGATTGATTGATCAATTAATTAATTTATTGATTTGTCAGTTGATTGTTGATTATTTAATTAATTGATTAATTTGTCCGTTGGCTGGTGATCGATTGGTTGATTGATCTTTCAATGGGGTGGTGATTCATTGATTAACTAATTGACTGATCAATGGGTTGATGAAAGATCGTTTGATCGATCGATTATTGAGATGGTGATCGATCGATTATTTGATTGATAAGTGAGTAAGTGATCGATTGATTAACAATAAATAAGCAGTATTATCGTTATGAACAAATGAAATATTAAATTAATTGGAAAAAACTGATTTTTATTAAAATTAATTGGTCACTTCAATTAATCTATAGTTCGTGGTTATCTAATGATTGATCAATTATTTTTAATGAAATTCCTAGCAACAGCCACGTGTGGGATGAGCTTGACTGCAAAGTCATCATCCGAAGGTTTTTTTTTCTGCATTTGATATTGATAGATAGATATCCTTATCTTTAATTAAAATCTCAACCAATAAGATAGACCTATAGGATCCTTTAAAGAAAATTGTTAAACCATTTACTACTCCCCAATTGGCAAAATTGGCCGTGCTGTGAAGGATGGCTGTTTTTGAGAGTGCAATTTCAATCCTGCTTTAGTTAATTTTACAATAGTTTTAGATTCGTATAATTTAAAATGAAATTAAAAAAGTATAAAATATAAATTCTGATCAAATGTTTTATAGTGTTAATTTTATCTAATGTTAATTTCTAATCCATTTGATACAAATATTATTGATTTGTTAAATAGGAGGGTCATACAACAGCACCCAGAATAAGAGCTCTTGATAAGGATTTCCATCCTGCCTGCTTTAAGTGTGAGGTAAAAAAAATCATTATAAATACTTTTAAAACATTCTTATTAAAAAAATATGATCCTCTTTTCGTACTGTTTTTATATAATCAATGTCAACTTTAGTAATTTTTTAATCAGAAATATGAAACTTTTGTGATTTTTCATATTCCAAATATTTTTTTTTCTAAACTAATTGCCTTTTTATTTGATAAGGATTGCCATCTAGTGTTGGATTCTCGAATTAAAGGGAAGGAATGTTGGCCGATCAGAAGTCACGTGCTCTGCTACACGTGCTATAGACGTAGGCAGAGTGAAAGCGAAGAAGAAAGCGATTAATAGATTCTATTAGTGAATTAAAAAGGGACTGTACACGTCATTTAAAAAGAGTGGTTTGATTAAAAAACTGAACCTTTAAAACCTCTCGTTGAGGTTGAGAAGCAATCGGGAGATTTGTTTGTTTTTTATTTAAACGTTTAGAGTTATTCCTTTTATCGCTTCTGCTTCATTTATCCTATAGTAGACAAAGATCTAAAGGAAATTGTTGCGGATCCGTTTAGAGAGTTATTTAAGATTACGTGAACAGTCCCAACAATAACATTTTAATTATTCAAACAGAATTGTATTATTATAAATGCATTAACAGTTGGTTTATAAACCTAAACAAATGTTGGTATAGTTACATTGAACAGAACTTACCTTTAAAAAATCAATTATTAAAAAGACAAACTTTACCTTGGAACTTTTCCTTTCGCAATTCAGATAACATAATCTTAATAATTTATTTTTCTTGTCTTAATTTTTCTTTAATGATATTTTATATATTCTTACTTTAAATCCAGTGGACGAAAAAATGGATGCGCAATAGTTTTCATTTTAACAGCGGTCGAAACTCTTGTGTGGGGTAGCGTTAATCTTGAATGCTTAATCTCGATAGCCAATGTTGGCACTTTAAAATTTAAAGATAAATCCTTGATCCCTCTATTAAAGTTCTCACTGCAGGGTACCATCACCACAGTATATCGAAACGGAATCAGTTAATCCTCAGGTCTACGTATAAGCTGGAGATCAAGGCTTAATCCCGAGATCGAAATCTCAAAAGTTCTGACTTCAGATCTAATGAATGCCGCGCATTTTAAGTTTTTATTTGACAACCTTTGTATAGTCATTAACACGTTTTCTCTAACAATGAAACTAAACCTTTAGAATAAATTCTAATCACTTTATTACTGTAGACATATTTTATAATTATTATTATTATGAAATTTATTAATTTATTAATTTTAGAGTTTATTAATACCAAAAGAATATGTTATCCTGAAAGCAGCATTGTGAACCACAGAGAAAATGAATTTATTTCAATGTTTTCTTTTTCTATTTTTATGATTTAAAAACGAAAAAATTTAAATTATACCTTTGTAAACAAATTCGTTTAAAAAGTATAAAAGATTGGCAAGCCCATTTTGTGCATTTTTTGCAAAACTGCAATTTTTATTGAAATGATTTTTTGGACTGTCTTAACTGTTTGTAAAGCTCTGTGGGCGTTTTCCCATAGTTTTCAAATCAAACTAGAAAATTAAAATGTAAAATTCTCATAAAAATTGTTTTGTTTGTCCATGGCTGCGTTGCGTATATACAATACTCATACTTTGAAAAGTTCTGTCAAATTGTTAATAATATATGATATTTTAAGATAAGTTAAATTAACAATTTTTGCACTAAAATAAAATTGAAAAAAAACTCTATTATTTGTAGGGTTGATCTTGCACTAGAAACCATTTCACGAAGCAAACCTAAAATGTTCAATCAACTACCTTTTAATAAATCCGCGTTTTTATTATTTACAACTACTTTACAGGGAAGTTAAGGGAACTTAACTTTACCAAGGAGGTTTCCGAATTGGTCGAGGGCACCTGTGGTTAAGTAAAGTTTTTAATCTTTATAAAAAGTAGTTGTACACAATGGTTTTTGAGATGAAAATGAGAGATTTTTCAGAGCAGGCATGGTTACTTAAATGTCCCAAGAGACGTAAAGTAACTTAACACCCTTCTTTTGGGGATTCATATTTCGGTTATGTTGGTTAAAAGGCGTTAAAGCTTCAAATAAAGAAATTGAGTCATTGCCGCAAATTCTAATTATCTAATTTTGATGTATTTGCAACTAAATATCGTAGACCTTAGTTTTTTTCAAACTATGAATTTTGTTGGATCAAATAATTTAAATTTGAAATGTCAAAGGTTTTCACCGTTAGGGGGGATAGACAGTGTAACCCATGATGCTTTTAGTAAAAATATTCAAAAAAAATACAATGGTTTCCAAATAGAAGAATCCTGTAAAAATAAACATATCATAACATTTTAATTTTGGAGCTTGTTAATACCAAAAGAATATGTTTTCCTGAAGCAGCATTGTGAACCACAGAGAAAATGAATTTATTTCATTTTTTGTTTTTATGATTTTAAAACTAAATATTTTCAAATTATACCTTTGTAAACAATTTTTTTTGAAAAGTATAAAAGATTGGCAAGCCCCTTTTGTCAGTGAAACACATAATGCTTTGAGTAAAAATATTTAAAAAAATAAAATGGTTTCCAAATAGAAGAATCCTTTAAAAGGATTGTTTATTTTAGGTACAAATAAACATAACAATCATAACATTTGGAATAAGGACATTCCTTTGTTTCAACACTGCTAGATGATTTCGTTTACTCTTTAGCGCTAAAAGCACCTGTTTCTCCTTTGATTGGATTGGATAGGGATTGGTTCAAAATAAACGCATAAGGAGCTAATAACATTTGGATTAGACGGTAATGGCCAGTTGAAAAAGGGAGCCGTGGGTTCTGACAGAATTTAACGAAATTATAATTTGTCTGGATGAGAATAGTTTAAACTATTTCATGAAATTTTGACTATCATTTGACTTAGCTAATATATATAATAAAACTCTTCGCTCGATCAAGAGAAGAACTTTATGAATTGCCATTTCAGTAAGATTTTTTTTAAAGTAAACAATATTTATCACTTTAAATGAAAAACAATTTTTATCATATTCTGTAAAAATCCGTGAAATCATTGTAAAAAAATGCTCCAATATCAGTTTTATTCCAACTGATTATTGGGTTAGACCCATAAAAAAATTTGTCTCGGAAAAAATTTATATTTAAACATATAAAATGTATATTTAAACTGAACAAAGCTTAAAATACTATATATATATGTATATATATATATATGTTTTTATGTCAGACAAAACGGCTGGACCGAATGGGCTGAAACTTTTTGAGGGAACCCTTGAGTACCCCGAAGGTAACAAAGGCTAAAAAAAGAATTTTTTTCTTAAAAAATCCACGGGCAACGCCGGTCACTTCAGCTAGTGTATCATAAAGCATCTATATACCATCTTCTATATATAAATTTGGCTTGTCTGTCTGTCTGTCTGTTTGTTTGTATCCAATAAACGTCAAAACGGCTGAACCGATCGGGCCCAAATTTTTTGTGGGACATCTAGGGACCCCAGGGAAGGTTTATGAAAAATCAAAATTTCAAATATTTGTCTCCATCAAAATTCGATCGTCATTAAATTTTTAAAAATTTTGAAAATTCGCGAAATTTTTTGTGAAAATCCGCGAATTATTTTTTGTTTTGTTTTACGATGTACACAAAGAGAACATGTTCACAACTAATTTAGAAGATGGGCGCGAAGCGCCCTCTAAGGCTAGAAAGAAGGGCGCGAAGCGCCTTGAATTTCTAGTTTATTTAAAAATTAGCTTCAAAATGTTCTAATAGCCTGTCATGCATTCCCGAGTTCATTTCAGCATTAGCTTCGATAAAACTCAATTTTATTTTTTTATTGAATAAAATCCCCTTGCTAGAGTCGTCTTCTAATTGTTTTGCTTTTTGGGACAGCCAGTATGTGTTCTGCATTGATATAAGAAAATCTTCCAAATTTTGAGAAACAAATTTATTGTCAAAATTGAAACCCTTATTATTTTTTGTTTGTGTTTGTTTTACAATGACATACAAAGAGAAAATATTACAATTAAAATAGAAGATGGGCGCGAAGCGCCCTACAAGCTTAAAAAATTGATTTAAAACAAGATATTAATTGCAGTATACATAAGAGTCTGAAGCAAAAAAGATTAACAATTCTGTAGGTATTCACTTTACGAACGACGATTTTGACATTTTAATGTTTAATAAAATAATGATTTTAATTCAACTATAGCAAACACACATGTTTTAAGTTATTTAACAACTTTACAAAACAAAGAAATAGGAATTGATATGTCCAGGGATCATACTGTATTAGTGTGATGTACTGTGTATAGTTTGTGAACATTTACATGAATTGTACACTTTGAACTCCCTTTCAGGCTGAAAGGGACTAATAAAATTCATAGCGAGGGATTGCTTAAATTCCACTCTAATATATTCTTTTCTCTTTGATTTTTTCCCTAAAATAATTTTTTCAAAAATTTTAAATTATGATTTCTGATCAGTTTTAACAACTTTGAAGGGCTCTGAATATATGAGAAGATTGTGAAGAATACGATTCCAGCTTTGACTATATTAAATTCTTCCTAAATATTAGGTAAAAATAGTCAAATTGTCTAAATATCGGTTTCGAAGTTTGGAAGTTGTTTGAGAGCCTCCTGAAGCAGAGAAAGATTAACAATTCTGGAGATAATAAATTGTTTAACAAATGTCATGGAATTAGCGAGTTAATAAATATTAAAATTATCTTTTTGTTGTACTTTGTTTTGCTTTGGTGAACATTTAAAAAAATAGACTTTAAAAATCACCCTGTACATTAAAATGCAAACAAAGACTACTATTAGACTAACAGTAATTAGAGTGTTAAACTAAGTGGTGATTTGAAAAGGCTTATTTTCACTGGTAAATCTGTTTTATAAAACAATGAACACACACAGTATTACAGAACTTTTTTTTTAAATTTGATTTTTACTATTTGCTTTGTATCAACTTCTGCAATACACGTGAATTTGGGTTTTATGGACCAGAATGTAGATTTAAAGAAGTGTATTTGCTTTGTAACAACTTCTGCAATACACATAAATTTGGGTTTTTTGGACCCTACTGTAGATTTAAAGAAGTGTATTTGCTTTGTATTAACTTCTGCAATACACATAAATTCGGATTTCTTGGACCCTACTGTAGATTTAAAGAAGTGTATTTGGTTTGTAACAACTTCTGCAATACACATAAAGAAATTGAGTCTTAGCCACAAACTCTGGTTTTTAAATCCCTACACCTTGACAACTTAATGTTGTAGACCTTAGATATTTCAAACTATGACTTCTGTTACATCAAACAATTAAAGTATGAAATAGCTAAGGTTTACATAATTTGGTTGTAGATATATAAGTATTAGAAAATTGGGATTTGTTGCAAAGACTCAATTCATTTAACTTTCTTGTACCCTATAACTGTAGATTTAAAGAAGTGTATTTGCTTTGTAACAACTTCTGCAATACACATAAATTTGGGTTTCATGGACCCTACTGTAGATTTAAAGAAGTGTATTTGCTTTGTAACAACTTCTGCAATACACATAAATTTGGGTTTCATAGACCCTACTGTAGATTTATAGAAGTTTATTTGCTTTGTAACAACTTTTGCAATACACATAAATTTGGCTTTCTTGTACCCTACTGTAGATTTATACAAGTTTATTTGCTTTGTAACAACTTCTGCAATACACATAAATTTGGCTTTCATAGACCCTACTGTAGATTTATAGAAGTGTATTTGCTTTATAACAACTTCTGCAATACACATAAATTTGGCTGTCATAGACCCTACTGTAGATTTATAGAAGTTTATTTGCTTTGTAAAAACTTTTGCCATACACATAAATTTGGCTTTCTTGTACCCTACTGTAGATTTAAAGAAGTTTATTTGCTTTGTAACAACTTCTGCAATACACATAAATTTGGGTTTTATGGACCCTACTGTAGATTTAAAGAAGTGTATTTGCTTTGTAACAACTTCTGCAATACACATAAAGAAATTGAGTCTTAGGCACAAACTCTGGTTTTTAAATCCCTATACCTTGACAGCCCATTGTTGTAGACCTTAGATATTTCAAACTATGACTTCTGTTACATCAAACAATCAAAGTTTGAAATAGCTAAGGTTTACATAATTTGGTTGTGGATATATAGGTATTAGAAAATTGGAATTTGTTGCAAAGACTCATTCCTTT